TATCAGTTGTAACTAGAGTTGAACACTTTCGATTAGAGGCTTACCAGCTGGGCTTCTTGCATTGTATGGTAGCTCATCCTGTCCTTGGGACAGACTCATTCTGACATTGGAAAAAATCCTTGTGGTCAGCCATGGCACCTTCTATGTAGAAACTGCTAAAAGGTAAGTCCTGAGTTTTTTTTTTTTTCTAGCGTCTGTGGATGATGGACCTCTTCTCCTTCACAGATAAACCAGCTAGATTATTTTTTTCTTCATTAATTTTCTTTCAGTTCTTCAGTAAACCCTCAATGTCTTCTAATGCCTACACAGAAGCAACATAAGTGGATTGGTGCAACCTTGTTAGAACCTTGAAAACCATACCCTTACACCACGCTGTGTGGACCGCTTCGAGCACTGGATCTTGGGTGGGGCGCTCACCTTGACACGTGGTTCAATGCGTTTAGTTTGCTGCAGGGTGCTATACAGGTCCAGGGTCATGGTCCATCACATTGAAACCTTTGGGGGTATGCCCACCATGATGGGTGAAGCCTGGATAGAGACCAGCGTTACAGACAGGTAAGACAGGGTCACCCTGTATTTCTGACTTCTACTTTGTAAAACAGCTATGTTTGGATTTTAATGCCAATTACACTGCAGTAAATATATTCCAAACATTCATAGCTTAGTCTCATGTGGATGACCATGGGTTACATCATACCACTTGGTGCACACTTTAACACCACTTCCACCTAGAGCCTTATACATAGTACTCAGGCGCTTCCTCATGCCCTTTCACCAGTAGGATGGGCAACACCTGGTTTTTTGTGTACTCCTTCTGGACACACTCTATCTTCCACACTCCATGAGTACCTCACAGGGGAATACCCTCGTGTAGTGGTGTTGAAGATGAGGCGAAAGGGAGCCAATTCTAAACAGGCAAATATTGGCTCTGCCAAAGTCCCTTACGACACTTCGGCTCAGAGTGATGATGCATCCTTTGCACTGGGTGCAAGACCCTGTTGCCACACCAGTCTCCGAATTTGATTCTAGCTCTATTCAGTTACGCAACAAGTGGACTATTTGACAAAAGTAAAGTTTCCTGCATCCATGTCACAATTTCTCTGACAGTTTATGGCATTAGTTCAGCTATTTTTGTTCAGTGCTTGGAAATGCTCTGCCTCTTCTACTTCCAATATAAACTTGAGTCATACCCTGATATGCTTTTCCTGCAGAATCAGAAGGGTATGAAGAGGATATGAAGGCAATGTTGGAGGATGCTGCAATAGATTTCCTACTCCCACATTGTCACTATATTGAGCAGGAAGCTTCACGTGATAGGCTTGCAGGTTGACTCACCTACATCTCACAATGCCCCTTTTGGGCAGAAAGAGACCTACAAAACATTCCCTGTTTATGAACAGATAGGATGTGCAATTTATGACTGGTCACTCCTAAAAGGATTTTTACACCCTCGAAAACCTTTGCTGAATTCTACCAAGTGGAAAAAAATTGCACAAAAATGGCCTATTCCTGCTGTTGACCTTGCCATTTTTGTCCTAAACAAACATCTCACTGTATCTTTTGAAGATGTAAAGTGAAACAAAAAACGAGAAGCGCACCAACCTTGCGCATTACCTCAGTAACCAAAAATTTATTGATAAAGGAATGGTACTCACAAACAGCGAATAAAAACAGGCATGTAAGTCCTCTGAGGGACTTCAGACATAGGGAGCCAGCGCGAATCCCATCATGGGGGTAGACACTCAGTAAAGCTGACACGTTTCGAAGGCTATGTCTTCTTCATCGGAGCTAGATCTTTTGAAGATGTTCCTTCTTTTATTGATTCTGTTGACAGAACATTTTAGATGCTCTTAAGAACTCTATTTACCTTGGCAGACCCAGCCTTGGAATCAGCTCTTGCTGCTATTTCTGTGTGTCAAACTGCAGCTAACTGGACTGGGATAATAAATAACGAACATGATCATGTTTTTGGGGGGGGGGGGGGGGGGATTCTGTGGTGGTAGAGCTATTACAACTGCCTTCTGCTCTTATTTTCTTACATAGTGTGGTTCAAGTCCATCTAGTTCATCCAATAAATAAGGAAAAAATGTATTCGATCACATATACACAATCCTATACCCACAGTTGATCCAGAGGAAGGCAAAAAAAAAAAACACTCAGCAAACCATGATCCAGTTTGCTCTAGTAGGGGAAAAAAAAAATCCTTCATCCCCACTTGAGGCAGTTGGATATTCCCTGTGTCACAACTTTACCTATTGCCAGGACTTGTCTTCACTTGGGTCACCTGCTGGCTGGTGCATATGTGGTTCCCAGAGTCAAAAGGCGCAGTTCCGGTGGTCATCCACGGGTATCCCCCAGCAGCTCGGCTGTCCGAGTAATTAGGCTACACCTGACATGGGCTGCTAGGAGGAACATAATCCTGCCCATAACTGAGGTTCTGTGCTTCAGTATTCCTCATGCGAGCTGTATCCCTGCCTGAACCTGATTTTTGTTCCTGATTCTTGTTCCTGTATACCTGCACCTGACTCTGAGACCTGTTCCTATGACCTGCTCCCTGTACCCTGCATCCAGCTTTCCCAGTACCTTGCTCCCTGCTCCTCTTGTTTCCAGTCTGAGTCCTGACCTTGTCCTGCTTGTGTGTGCTTCCTCCATTTGTATATAGCTAGGTTATCGTTTGGTTTGCTACACTTTCACATTTGTATTACGCACTGCTTGTAACAGAGGACAGGGAGCATTGCCCCCAAATATTGAAGGGGCATGTTAACTAAATCATATATAACTGACCAGGCTTGGAGTATAGGCTAAACAAAACGAAATTTACAATTCCCTTGTCTGACCAAAGAATGTAGTGCATTGATACAATCCAGCAGAGCCTCTCATGAATATACCGAGAAATGTTAAAAAAAGGGCTTATTCTCAAGTAGCCACACTAGAGATTCCACCCGAGACACTAAAAGGAGGAGAATAATCATCACTACCTTTAGGGATATAAGACAAAGCCAGCTCTGCACACACCTGAATTAGAGGCTGAACTTCACCAAACAAAACTCTACCTTGATCAACAAGAAAATGAGCCAGACTGATACATTCCAACAACTGTTCCTGCTCCCACCTGCCATGACGCCAGCTGCTCTGCTCCCATCTGCCATGATGCCAGCTGCTCTGCTCCCGCCTGCCACGACACCAGCTGCTCTGCTCCCACCTGCCACGACACCAGCTACTCTGGTCCAGCCTGCCGCAATTCCACTTGCTCCAGTCCAGTCTGCTGTGAGTTCCACTTGCTCTGGTCAAGCCTGCCACCATACTTGTAACTCTGGTCAACCAATGATAATTGAGCCTTCTGCTTCAGACTTGCCTGTCACTACCTCAGCCATGAGCCAGTCCACTCCTGATTTACCTTCAGTACGGTCTTCTGCCTCTTCATATCTGGGATTATCAACAACCAGGTCCCACCCTATGGTAATTACATCTGCTCAAGCCTGTCTTAGGAGTACCATCCATCCTTTTGACAGACTGCCTTATTCAGCCAAGTGGGGCCTTTGTCCTTTTCTCCAAGCCACCCCACATCCAACCTGTGCTCCAGCGACCCAGCTTAATCTCAACTATATGTCACCTGCTATCCAGCCTACTGGTTCTCTGTCCACTGTTCAGTTTGGCTCCATAGACTCTTTGATAGCTAATCAAACTGACATCACTGATCCCCTGACCATTGCCCAGCCTGATGGCATGCTGCCTACTAATGTGATCCAGTCCAGTCCCCCTGTATACTACCTGCTAATGGGGTTCAACTTGCCTCTGTGTTTGCTGATGGGATTCAGTCTGCCGCTGCTGTCCGCTGTCAAATCTGCCTCTGGTGATGTGCTATCCTTTGTCAAGCTTGCCTTTCATGCTCATTTGATTGTTGCTCAACTTGGTGATGCTGTGTCTGCTATTCAGCCAGAAGATCCTGTTCCTGATACCCAGCCTGAGGGTGCTGATGCCCAGCCTGAGGGTCTTGGTTATGTGTTTGATGCCCAGCCTGAGGGTCTTGGTCTTGATGCCCAGCGGTCCTGTTCTTAATGGCCAGCCAGAAGATCCTGTCTCTGATGCCCAACCGGAGGGTCCCGTGCCCGATGACCCACCTGTCTCTGACAGTCCTTTGTCCAACAACCTGTTTGCCTCTAAGGGTCCCATGCCTGATGATCCGTCTGCCCCTGGTGGTCCTGTGCCCAACAGCCTGCCTGCCTCTGACAGACCTGAACCTGAAGACCCGCCTGACCTTGCTGGTTGTGTAGCTGCTGCCCTGCCTGATGGTGCCTTGGCGCATAGTAAAACCTGTTGATTATATCTCCCGCTTGATCTCCGCTTCTTGAAAAAATAAATTCAGTTCCTCTCATCTTTCCTCATAGCTGAGCTCCTCCATGCCTCTTATCAGTTTGGTTGTCCTTCTGTGCACGTTATGCAGTTCCCTGATATCCTTTTTTGTGAATTTGTGCCCAAAACTGAACTGTATATTCTAGTTGAGGTCTTACTAATGATTTGTACAGAGGTAAAATGAGATCTATCTCTCTCTCTGGAGTCTACACCTCTTTTAATACAAGAGAGGATTTTGCTCACTCTAGAAACCGCAGCTTGGCATTGCATGCCATTATTAAGCTTTTGATCTACCAGAACCCCCAGATCCTTCTCCACCATTGATTCCCCCAGTTTTTTGCTTCCCCTAGTATGTATGATGCGTGCATATTCTTAGCCCCCAAGTGCATAACCTTACATTTATTAACAATAAACCTCCATTTTCCACATAGATTCCCAGGAACACATAATGACAAATATCCAGAATGGCTCTCATCTCCATTCTTATGAGCAGAATTCTCTAGCTAAAGGCTTGGACGGAAGAGGGTGCCTGTAAAATATGCCTCACATGTACACTATATTGACAAAAGTATTAGGACACCCCTCCAAATCACTAAATTTTCCAATCACCTCCATGGCCACAGGTGTATAAAATCAAGCACCTAGGCATGCAGACTGCTTATACAAACATATGTGAAAGAATGGGTTGCTTGCAGGAGTTCAGTGAATTCAAGAGCGGTACCATGATAGGTTGTCACCTGTGCAATAAGTCCATCCATGAAAATTCCTTGCCACTAAATATACCATGGTCAACTGTTATAACAAAGTGGAAGCAACTGGAAACAACAGCAACTCAGCCACAAAGTGGTACGGCACTTAAAATGACAGAGCGGGGTCAGTGCATGCTGAAGCGCACAGTGTTCAGAAGTCGCCAACTATCTGCAGAGTCAATAGCTAAAGACCTCCAAACTTCTTGTGGCCTTCAGATTATCACAACAACAGTGTGTAGAGACTTCATGGAATGAGCAGCTGCATCCAAGCCTTATATCACCAAGTGCAATGCAAAGCGTTAGATGCATTGGTGTAAAGCATGTCACCACTGGAGTCTAGAGCAGTGGAAGACGTGTTCTTTGGAGTGACGAATCACACTTCTCTGTCGGGAAATCCTATGGATGTGTCTGGGTTTGGCAGTTGCCAGGAGAATGGTACTTGCCTGACTGCATTGTGTCAAGTGTAATGTTTGGTGGAGGGGGGAATATGGTGTGGGGATGTTTTTCAGAGGTTCAGCTTGGCCCTTAGTTCCAGTGAAGGAAACTCTTTAAGACGTCAGCATACCAAGACATTTTGGACAATTTCATGCTCCCTACTTTGTGGAAACAGTTTGGGGATGGTGCCTTCCTGTTCCAATATGACTGCACACCAGTGCACAAAGCAGGGTCCATAAAGACGTGGAGGAACGTGACTGGCCTGCAAAGAGTCCTGACCTCAACCAAATAGAACACCTTTGGGATGAATTAGTGGAGATGTGAGCCAGGCCTTCTAGTCCAATATCAGTGCCTGACCTCACAAATGCGCTTCTGGAAGAATGGTCAAACATTCCCATAGACACACTCCTAAACCTTGTGGACAGCATTCCCAGAAGAGTTGAAGCTGTTATAGCTGCAAAGGGTGGGCCAACTCAATATTGAATCCTGCGGAGTAAGACTGAGAGGCTATTAAAGTTCATGTGCATTTAAAGGCAGGCGTCCCAATGCTTTTGGCGATATAGTGTATGCTGCTGTTTGAAGAAAGATGTCTATTTGGTGAGGCACTTGACCAATTCATTAAAAGATCACAGGTGGGTAAAGTTTTGCTTCCTCAGAAAATGGTAACAAAACCTCCCTCCCAGCTCCTCTAAAAGCAGAGCACATCCATGGTCTACCCAGGCTTCATCTTCAAAACCTAGGTTCAACCCTTCCTTTGGGCACAAGGCTTGGCCACCAAACCCTCTCCACAATGATGGGGCACCCTCAGTCCTATGAGTGGGGGCACATCTGTTGCAGTTTGCATCTCCTTGGGTCACAGATGTCCCAGACCTGAGGATTCAATTGGTGGCTTCAAGAAAAGGGTACAAGATAGAGTTCAAAATGTTACCACCTTACTGCTTTCTTCTTTCAAATCAGCCAAAAGCTGTCCAAAGACAGATTTGCAAAGGGCATTGAAGCACATCTTGTCACAAGGAGTTATATCGGTACCAGGTTCAAGGGATTCTACTAAAAAACTGTTCATGGTATCAAAGCCCAATGGAAGTATCCAACCCATTAGTACTTGCCTCTCTGAGACAAGGGGAACACATAGAGTCCGTGCACATCAAGATGCTTACCTAAATGTTCCCATTTACTCACCTCTTCAGTGTTTCCTGCACTTAGCAGTGGCAGACGACCACTTCTATCATCTTGCATTTCAGCCTGTCTTCTGCTTTCATTGTGTTCACAAAAATCCTAGTACCCTTGCTTGCCCTCAGCCTTGTTTGCCCTTCCAGAACTCAAGGCATCCAAGTAACAGACAAGCCTAGATGACCTTCTCCTAAGGTTTCATCTCCTTTGCAACTCTTAGTTAATGTCCATAAGACACGTCCGCTGCTTTTGGCCTTTGGTTGGCTGATTACCTTCAACAGATTTGTTCTCCAGCCAGTGCCTGCACATTGAATTCTTGGTTCTGATCCTGGGTACATCCAAGGCAAAGGTCTCCAAAAAAGAAAGTTCTCTCCTAGAGCTCAAACTTAACAACTGAGATCTAAAAGAAATCCCACAGTGAGATTTGTAATGAGAGCTCTGGGCTAATGGTGGCCTCCTTTGATGCAGTACCTTTCACCCAATTCCATTCAAGAATTCCAACTGAATTATCTATCCGCATGGAAAAAAAGTATGCTCTTTCCCTGGATCTACCTATCCTATCCACCGAAGCAAGAAAGATTTTGTTCTAGTGGATCAGTAATCCAACTCTAACAGCGGAACAATTTTTTGTACAATTGGAAAGTTCTTACAAGACAGTTCAGAGACCATGATTAAGAGAGAGACCAAACTCCCCATCACCATCTTGGAGTTCCAAGCTGTTAGGCTGTCCCATCAGTGGTGGACTCTCCCTTCTAAAGGGACATCCAGTTTGGGTGAAGTAGACAAGGCCACCACAGTGGCATATATCAACCATTAAGGGGGCACGTTAACCTGACTGCCTTGAGGGAAACAAACATGGACAGAAACACACTCCCCAGCAATTTTAGAAGGTCCACATCCCAGGAGTGGACAACTGGCAGGCAGATTATTCATAGCTGCCATTGCTTGAACCTAGGGGAATGGTCTTTTCATTCAGATGTGTTCAATCTGATATGCCAAAATGGGGGACTTTGGATTTTGACTATCCTAACTAGAGATGAGCGAATTATTCAAAAATTCGGTTCGGCTGATTCGCCGAATTCGCCGAATAAATTCGCTTCGAGCCGAATATATTCGCTGCGAATTTAACTTATAAAAAGGGTGTTTTCTAGGCTTCAGAGAGCCTTTATATTAGTGCAGAACACTGTACCTTTAATTTAAATGCCTTGGAGTCTGCTGGGGATGAGAAATAATACTGTCAGTCAGTATGACATGCAGATGAGTGCCGTCGATCTTAGAATCACCGCACACTTCACTCATTTGGGCAGTCACGGGGCCAAAACCAGAGTGTGGAGCCACAGTGTGGCGGTGGAGGCAGCAGCAATGGGAGGCCATACAGCACCCTATGACAAAATGGAACCCCACCAGCAGTGTGAGGAGGGACCTGAAAGTGGCACATGGCAGAGTGTGGCGATGGAGGGACAGCAGCAATGGGAGGCCGTACAGGGACCCATGACACACTCTGGACCTGGCAGCAGCATGAGGGAGGCGGTACAGGGGCCCATGACAGATTACGGGCCTGGCGCAGCAGCATGAGGAGCCGGTACGGGGGCCCATGGCAGATTACGGGCCTGGACAGCAGCATGAGGAGGCGGTATAGGGGCCCATGGCAGAGTGGCGGAGCGTAAGCAGCTAAAATTGAAGGCCATACAGAGGCCTATGTTAAAAAGTCCCCCAGCAGCAGCGTGGGAGTGATGACTATCAAGAGTCCAATGGCAGAGTGGCGGAGCAGAAGCAGCTTCAATTGAAGGCCATATACACAGGCCTAGGTTTAAAAAAGTCCCTCACAGTTAATTCCAATAACGAACTCTACTCCTCCGTGCAATCTACTTACGTGAGACCCTGGGCAGGTATGGGTCCAATTGTGGTAGAGACTGGTTTTTTTATTTTTTCTTATTTTCAGCCATGCTTGAGCGAGTATTAACAGGTCTGTGCTACCCTTTGGTGTCCTGGCTTAATGCGCACAACACTGGAACGTCCCAGCGTTTGTCAACGATTTGCCGTTAAGTGATGCAAATCCGCGCTGGCGAAACCACGTTTTCATGAGGAGCCGGGTACAGGGGCCATGAATCAGTATGGACCTGGCAGCAGCGTGAGCAGACGACAGAGGCACATGGCGCACAGGGTGGCGGTGTAGGCAGCATTATTTTGAAGCCATACACAGGCCTAGGTTAAAAAGCGGAAGCCGGTCAGCAGCGTGAGCAGATGACCGAGACACATGGCGCAGGGTTTTGGCGGTGGATGCAGCAGTATTCGGAAGCCAAACACAGGCCTTCGGTTAAAAAGCGGAAGCCGTCAGCAGCGTGAGCAGACGACAGAGGCACATGGCACAGGGTGGCGGTGGAGGCAGCAGCAATGGAAGGCCCATACAGCACCCTATCACAAAATGGAACCCACCAACAGTGTAAGGAGACCTGAAAGTGGCACATGGCAGAGTCTGGCGATGAAGTCAGCAGCAATGGGAGGCCGTACAGGGACCCATGACACACTCTGGGCCTGGCAGCAGCAAGAGGAGGCGGTACAGGGGCCCATGGCAGAGTGGCGAAGCGTTAAAGCAGCTTAAATTGAAGGCCATACAGAGGCCTATGTTAAAAAGTCCCCCCCAGCAGCAGTGTGGGGAGACGACTATCAAAGAGTCCAATGGCAGAGTGGCGGAGCAGAAGCAGCTTCAATTGAAGGCCATACACAGGCCTAGGTTAAAAGTCCCCCCACTGCAGCCAGCGTGGGGAGACGAGTCCTATGGCAGAGTTTGGTGCGGAAGCGGAAGCAGCTTCAATGGAAGGCATACACAGGCTAAGGTTAAAAAGTCCACCTCCCAGCAGCAGCGGAGACGAACTATCAAGAGAGTCCCAATGGCCAGAGTAGGCGGAGCGGAAGCAGCTTCAATTGAAGGCCATACACAGAGGCCTAGGTTAAAAAGTCCCCCCAGCAGCAGTGTTTTTATAGTACTTTATTTTGGCCTCCCTCTCAGCAGGTGTGAAAAAGGCCACCATTTTTTGAACGGTAGCGAGGGTCCAACAAGGTGGACAGCCAAAAGTCATCCCTCTGTCTGATGGTTATTATTCGGCTGTCGTCTACGCAACGCAACCGAGCATGCTATGGGCCATTTGTGCCAAGGAATGCGAGGGACTCCCTGCCTCCATCTCCACAGCATACTGCCCACGGTGCGTCTGGGTCCTCTGTCTCCTCTCCTCCTCTACCAGATGCTCCTGCTCCTCCACTCCTGTCCGCTGAGTGGAAAAACCACCCATTTCACTCAATAATTCCTGAGCACCAATGTCCTCCTCTACCTCCTCCTCTTCTTCCTGTCCTGCCCCCCACAGAGGTCATGTGGCGTTGAGATCTGTGCGCCACGTCTACCCGCACCCTGACCAGCCATTGTTAACAGCATTTGTTCCAGGACGTGCAACAGAGGAACTGACGTCGTTCATCCCCCATAGTCCTGCCGACTCACGAATAGCGTGGCCTCCTCAAAGGGCCTGAGCAAGCGGCAGGTGTCACGCATGAGCTGCCAATGGCTGACATCGAAGTTACACAGGGGAGTACCTTTATCCCTTGTAACATCAGGAAATCGTGATGGCCTTTCGCTGTTCGTAAAGGCGGTCTATACATATGTAGGGTTGAATTCCACCTTGTTGCAACGTCGAGATCAGGCGATGCTGTGGAATTCCGTTTTGCCGCTGCAGCTCAAGGAGG